AAGAGCCTGTGCGGAATGAACAAAGCCAATCTCCAAAGGTCACACACCATGATCCCGTTTCTATAACATTCTCCAAATGACAAAAGGATAGCCATGGAGAACAAATTAGTGGTGGCAAGGCGTTCGGGACAGTAGTCGAAAGGGGATGGGTCTGACTGTGTGGTGACCGAACAGCTCTGTGTCCTGAAGTGGTGGGGTGGTGGTCCCATGAATCTATATATTTGATAAAATGGCACAGACCTCTACGTACGCATGACAGCAATGTCTATTTCCTGCTTTCGGTATTTCACTGTAGTTTATGTAAGATGGAACCATTGGGTGAAGGTACACAAGACCTCTCAGTACTATTTTCCCTATGAATCTACAGTTGTTTCCAAATAAGTGTTTTTTTAAACTCAAAAATAATCCAAGCTTTGTCTGAGTCTAAGAACCCAGCTTCCTCCAAGTATTGAAGTGACACCCGCCTATGCCTGTGAGGTAGACACAAGTGTGAATTCACACGGCTGTTCCTTCATACCCTTCCCAACAGACACTGACAGCGCCATGCCCAAGGCTGCGCCAGTGAACTTACAGAGCAGACTGAGGGCCAAACTAGCCCAGGACCATCTCTTGAGCTTTGGCTCCTAATTGGAGCTCTCTGCAGGCCAGAGTCTCCACAGGCGGGAAGGGAGATGAATTAAGGGTTAAAACCATGGGACAGGATAAAACCAAGCAGGGGTGTGAAGAGGGAGAACAAGGAGGGGTGCCACCTGGACGGGAGTGGGGGTGGGGGGACCCACCTTCCTCTGCGTGGACCAGGACCGATTGCACAAGCGGAGCAGAAGGTGAGGGAAAGCCACGCTCCTAATCCCAACCTCCCAACATCTGGGTCTCCCGAGATGGGAAGAAAAGTAGTCACTGTCACAGACAAAAGAGAATGATCAGAGTGTGGAAATGAGCTACTGATGTTTATGAGACCCAGATTCCTTTGCCATTTGTTCTGTGGCTGCTTGGCTCACAAATTCATCACCGGGAGAGACAATGGAGCATCCTGACAGGAGAAAAGGGTCTGAGTGACCTGTAACCCCCACCCCACCCACTCCCATTGTTCTCCCTGCCCACCCCCTGGGGGAGGGGCCCATTCCAGGAAAATGGAGTAAGTGCTAACCTGGGTCAGAGAAACACCACCCCTGATGGGGAGGACACATTTTTAACCCAGGGGGTCAGTGAAGGAATTTTTGGCTCCTGGCGTGCTATTGAGATGGTTTTTTCTGAGTAAAAATTACAGGTTGTTGGGATAGAGCACTTTCCTCTGGAAAGTGAGGTTATGCCCAGGGGTGGGCCCCAGGGACCTCCGGAAGCTATGGGCAGAGGCCAGAACAAGTACCTCTCCCTCATTTCTGGGCCTCCTTCCCAGATCAGAAGGCCCCGGGGCCTGTCAGGTCAGATTTGTCTATCCCTTCTTTCCCACTGCTCTTCCCCAGCCCTGCACCCCCCTTTCACTTCCCAGATATACATTGTTTCACCGCCCTGGGATCCCGGGTGTGAGCTCGCCTGAAATTGGGCAGTAGTCACCGGCCACTCCCTTTATAAGGTAACCTCCCTTTGGCCCCAGACATTTAATCTTAAGGAGAAACAGATCGCTGTGAGGCTGCCAGGACCAGTTAGCCACAAAGGCTCCTTCCTACCTCTCCATCCGCCCCCGTAATCCACAGTCGTTGAGTGAACCTGTTTCTCATTTAGAGCTTTAGAGTTCTGGACGCTGACCTGCTCCCTCTGACAATGACTGCTGCATGGATCCTCTGCTCCTTCAGCATTTTGTAAGCCAGAGGCACAGAGGCTGTCTCCAGGTTAAATGCCATTGTATGAATTTCTGCAGAAGGAGGTAGAAAAAACTCATCCCCAGAGTGAGAGCTGCCTGGCTCTTTAGATGTGATTATGAAGAATGAAAGGGTATGAGCCTGCTAGGGACTAGGAGCAGACATGCTGCAGCCTCCTTGGTACCCCCTGGTCATGGCTGGGATGTGTGGGTGCAGGGCTGAGAAAGCCATGACCCCTGGGAACAAGTGGGGGAATCCAGGGTATCCCCATGTGCTAACCCATAATGGAGCAGCACCCTGTGATGGCGAGGGCCAGGATGGACAGCCATTTAGGGGCTCTGATTCGGAGTCTCAGACCCGGGTCCTCTGTACTGCCCCTCTCTGGCTATGTCTCCGTGCACAAGGGACCCATCTCGCTGAGCCTGGTTTTCCTCATCATTCCTGTGGACGGTCATTGTACCCACTTGAGAGTGTTGTAATGAGGATTAAATATTGGTAAAATACTTGCATAATTCCTGAGACATTCAGACAGTTCCATCACTGTTAGCTATTACTATTATTTTGGATATTATGATTATTAACTGTAGTTTTTCTTAACTATTAACTATAATTAGTGGAACACTATATCCTAAACGGCGTTGGAATGTGCAGTCCTGTTCATTGAAGCAAGAACTAGCCTCACATCGATGCCAACCCCAGAGAGCCCTTCCCCTGTGCCTCACCCCACGTCATCCTCAGGGAGCCCAGGAGGTAGGGATTATTCCTATCACCTAGTGTTTTCATGTAAGGACTCTGAGGCCCAGGACAGGTGAGAGATGCTTCCCTGTGTCACCTGGTCAGTAGAAGCCTAGACTGGGACTTAGATCTGTAGGGTTTTGCAGGAATGTCATAAAGGCAAATGGTTCGTCTGTCCTAGCAACGGGGAACCTAGAAAAAGGATGGGTTCTCACTCAGGTTGGGTTGCCCCTGCCCCCTCTCTGTGCCACACATAATCACAAGATGTGTCCAGTCTGTACCCCACTAAGAGGATGGAGGGCAGCCACCCAGTCTCTCATAGCGAAGCCCCCAGATGGCCAGTGACATCCCCCCGGAAGAAAAGGGTTAATTAAGTTTAACTAATGAAATTCCAGACCCCCTATTTGCCTCAAGATATCCAACCTTGTACCTGGTCTCAGGCAGATACTCGAAGCCAAGTGGAAGTCTCGCCAAACTCTAAGAATGACTATGGATCAGCAGAGGCAATAATTAAGAAAACCTGGTTTTTAGAGTTAAGCAAAGCTCTCAACTGGTATGAGACTTTAGGAGGCCAATTGGCTGGGGCTCAGGCCTCAGGCACGTGTGGCTCAATCATCAGCATGTGATAACGTGTCTTTAATTTTCACAGATCTTCAAAGAAACGGCTGCCCTAAGTGCGTCTATTTTAGGGACTAGGGGAGGGTGGGTCCCAGTGAATCTATCTCATGTGGGGTTACCCTGGCTATCAGGAATCTGTTCGGGAACAAGTCGTCCTTCCTGCCTTGCTAGTGAAAACAGCGGAAGCTGCCCCCACCCTGGCTCCCTCCTGAGACCCTCTCTTTTCAGACCACCCAACTATTTCCCCCTCCATTTCCTCCCAGCTCCTAAGTTATAAACACCAGCATTTCCACCGTTCTCTGTTGAAAGTCCTCCAGGACTCTTTTAAATGGTGGGACCCAAACCGCACAGTGTTCTTTCTCTTCTAGGCCTGGCTAAAAGTGAGGATTATCTTAAATTATATAAAAATATGTCAGTGTCTCACTTATATCCAGCCACACCGTCAATTCAGCCTTTATACATTGTGGTGTAGGGAAAAAGCAGAAGCAGGACTGAGAATCCAGACTCACCGGTCAACAATGCGAGTAAGTAAATAGGTGAGATCCACTGGGACCTCCAGATTCCTTTCTTTCTAAACATATTTTTATTGATTTCAGAGAGGAAGAGAGAGGCAGAGAGAGAGAGAGAAACATCAATGATGAGAGAATCATTGATTGGCTGCCTCCTGCATGACCCCTACTGGGCATGGAACCTATAACCCGGGCATGTGCCTTTGACCAGAATCGAACCTGGGACTCTTCAGTCTGCAGACCAACACTCTCTATCCACTGAGCCAAACTGGCTACGGCTCAAGATTCCTTCCTGTTGGACACTCACCCCTTAGTTGCACCCTTGGAGGCTTCACCTAGCCACATCTGATTGTCTGGTTGTCCAAAACAACTGCTCTGCACCATAACCCCCACCCTGACCCCAAGGAGCCCTGATGTGGACTCTGCAACCTCCCACGTTCTCACCAGCTCTGCCCCTTTAAGGAGGTGCACTGCCACCAGAATGGGCAAAAAAGCCTGAGCGTGAATTCAGCCATTCTGGGTCCTCCCAGACACGTGATGGAGTGGGAAGCTTCCTGACCCCCTGGAGAAGGAAGTGTCCACCCCACGCAGCTGCCTCACCCCATCTCCTCTTCACCCACTCCCCAGAACGGGTCTATCCGTTACCGAGCAGCCTCTGAGGGTCCACTGCTTTCCTGGGGCCATTTCCAGTCGTGGTAGGCTGGCCTCAGTGCACAGGATCGAGAGCCTTCTGGGGGCGGGGGTGAGGGGGTAGAGGGTGAGGGATGGGGTCCTGAACATGGCAGGCAGGGAGGGAGGGAGCAGAGCCTTCACATTGCTGCTCTTGGGGATGAGGAGAGCCTGGAGAAGGAGCACATCCCTTCCACCACCCACCACAGAGGAGTGGGCTTTCATCTCCTCCATCTTCCCCCTTAGGGCGCCAGACCCCGACACCCCTAAGCACACCCGCTTAAGGAAATAACTGCCTGCAGGAGATCGAAAAGGTGCCATGAGATGTTCTTTTTCAATCAAAGAACAGAACATTCCCTGGGCTGGTGCCTGGACTATCTGAATAGAGTTGTCTGGATGAGCAGGTACTTTCAATGTCCCCCGTTCCTCACACTGATGAGGGCGTGTGAGCATGCCCGCGAGCCACTCACCACCACCACCACCACCACCACCACCACCACCACCACCACACAGCACGTGTCCCCTTATCCAGGGGTTCCCTCGCCCCCCGTGCCAGACGCACGGCACGGAGGTGGAGCAGGGCGCCCAGCGCCTCCAGAGCCCCCGTGTCTCCGCGGAAGGTGCGCCCGGCGCGGCTGGCTCGGTCGGCCGGCGCCGGCTCCCCACTCACCTTAATGTTGCCGAAGAAGGCGCGGGAGCAGCGGCCGGCGGAGCCCGCGGAGGCGGCGCTGCCCTGTCGCTCCGGCTTGGGCAGGAGCCCCATGGTGGCGGGCAGCGACGGGGCGGGCGCGGCGGCGGCGGCGCTGGGCGGCGTCCCCTCCGGCCGGGCCGGGCTCCGGGCGGCGGCGGGCGCGGGGCGGGCGGCGGGCTCCGGGCTCCTCCGGGCGGCGGGCGGCGGGCCGGGCAGCGGCGGCGGGGACTGAGCGGGGAGCGCGCCCACAGTTTATAAGTGGCCGCCGCGGGCGCCGCCGATGATGAAACGCCCTCCCTCCTCCCTCTGCCACTCGCGTGTCCCCGGCCGGCGAGCTCCCGCCCCGCCCGCCGCCCCACGGACAGGTGTGATGCGGCCTCCGCGCTGGACCCGGTTCCCGGCCCGGGACGTGTCTCTGCTCCGGAGTGGGGCTGGGACCCGGGATGTGTCTCCCGGAGTTGGGCTGGGACCCGCGGGCTGGGACGCCGCCGGGAGGGGGCTGGCGGGGTGGCGGGCCCGCGGGAAGCGAGGTGGGGGCTGGAGGGGGCGGGAGGCTGCGGGAGGGTGGAGTCCCCGGGGTTTGGAGGGCTGGCGGGGCCGGGGTGGGTGCAGCGGAAACCCGCTGGGGGGATGAGGGCGATATTGAAGGGGAGCGGAGAAGGGGTCTGCAGGGCTCTGGGGGCAGGAGGAGGCAGAGGAAGGGCCGAGGGCCAACGGGAGGGAGCCAGGGGTGTGGGAAGAGAGCCGGGGGTTCTGGAGGCGAGGGGATCCCCGCGCCCTTCCGGGCGCACTGGGGAGAATCACGGAGCCGGTCTCTGCTTGCTGGCACTCGCCACCCAAAGAAAACCTGGACGCTCAGTTCCGGTGATGGCTCTGAGACTCGCTGAGGTTCTGTTTGTGTCAGGGACTGATTTATAGTTAAACTGTTCTTTGTGCTGGAGGCGGGGTGGGTAACAAGGTGGAAAGGTGGGGGCCGCCCCAGTCTGGGCCGAACTCTCTGGACCTGCGCCAAGGTAAACTGCAGACGCTGTCAAGTGTCAGCTCAGCCGGGGCTGGCGGAGGATTGTGGGGAGACGGGGGAGGGTGTGGTGGGGCAACAGAAGCACCCACTGACCTCCTTCTCCCCGGCTGGAGTAAAGCCCCTTCTTGGACTTTATTATTCCCCCCACACTGTTTTTCTGCCAGGATTCCCAGGGCAGCGAAGAGAGAGGTGAGGGCTTTCCAGAGAAAAATAAGAAAGTCCTATTGGAAGCAGCTGCAGTAAGGAGTCCAGTGCTGGAGGTATTTTTCCAGCTCCCCAATCCCAGTCGTCCGCTGCGGAGCAATCTTGCAAGCCCGCCCCTACTCTCAGAAAGTCAGGAGCCCGCCCTCCACGCCCAGGAAACTCTGGCTACCACACAGCCCACGGGACAGAGGGGCCCCATCGATGCTTTGTTTCTACCCAAGGCTGGATGCCTTTCCGGGCCTATCAGCTGTCCCGTGTCCCGGGGCTACTGTTTCCTCTCCGCCAGGCCGGTGTGTCCTGTGGTCCAAGGACCCGGGACACAACAGCATGCAGTGCTGAAGGAAAAACCACTGGGCAGCGGGCAGACTGGCCACATCCGCCTCCCACAGGGCACAGGGCATCCAGAGAGGCGTTCCAGGTTCCAGGGCCCTGCACCAGCCCCGGAGCCAGAGCAGGCATGAAACCCCCGGCCACCAGTCTGCCCTCTTAGGGAACTTGAAACACAAGGATGACCACGGAGCACTCAAAGCTTAATGGGTGCTGAGCTGTGACACCCACGGCGGATGGTGCCACGCATTCTGCTGGGCACCCACGTGTGTGACGCCACAGAACCCCAGCATTAGCTCAAGAGTTATAGGTACGAATACAGTCTGGATTTTACAGGCAACAGTGCTAGAGAGGTCAACTTAAAAAAAAAAAAAAAAAAAAAAAAAAAAAAGTGACTGAAAGACACACAGCTACTATGTGATGGAGCTGGCACCCGAAGCCAGCTTTGTCTGACTCCAGAGTCCAGCCGTGAGCTTCGTGCCCTTTGAAGAGTTATCTATTCCACTGGCCTCATTTCACAAGTGAAACCAAGCGGAGAACAGAGAAGGCCAAGGTCACAGGTTGCCATGGCTGGAGCCTTTTCCTTGTGCCCTGAAGCCTTGCCAGGGCCCTCTGGTCAAACCCCAGGCTGGGGCAGCTTCTCCAATCCTCACCTCGGTCCTGCTCCATTCACCATGCCCTTCTCCCGCGGTCAGAACCAGCATCGTCTTCAAACGGTCAGCCTTTATTTTACCAGGTGGAGTTCAGCTCAGTGCAATGGAAACCTAACCAATGTGGCTTCAATGACATTTCTCTGTCTCTGCTAACAAGAAGCCTCCTTGTAGCTAGTCTAGGGGTCATGACGGGGCCCCTTCAGGATTCCTTAATGTGCGGCTCATCCTCATGGCTGGCTCACCATCCCAGGACGGCTGCCCCACACCCCCTCCTGCCTCCTTGCCTAACCCCACGGAGGAAGTGAAAGACAGGAACTGAGAAAGGGCTGTGCTCACATCAGGGAAGCCACTCTCTCCCGGGCATGCTTAGCGGCTGTTCAGTACATCTTCTTGGCCGAAACTGGAGCAGGGGGAAGGTTCCCTGGAGCAGGGGACTCTCAAGCTGAGCCTAGGGACTGGAAGGATGGGGAGGAACAGGGTGAAGGAAGGTAAATCTGCTCCGTGGTGTCAGTCTGGCTGGAGCATGAGACCCGGGGCCAGTGATCCCTGGCTGCCTTCTGCGAAGGAGGCTAGGGACGTAGTTAACACTATTGCTGCCTCCTGAACAGGAAAGAAAGTCTATTGTAAAAAAAAGTCAGTGTCTGCACAGTCACCCATTTCCCTAAAGGCACCTCAGGGTCTACTTCTAAAACCCTCCCCAACTGTGACCGGTTTGGCTCAATGAATAGAGCATCAGCCTGCCAACTGAAGGGTCCTGGGTTCGATTCCAGTCAAGGGCATGAACCTTGGTTTCGAGCACATCCCCAGTAGGGGGTGTGCAGGAGGCAGCTGATGGATGTTTCTCTCTCATCGATGTTTCTAACTCTCTATTCTTCTCCCTTCTTTTCTGTAAAAAATAAATAAGATATATATAATATAATATTTGAAAAAATATATATATATAATTTGAAAAAATATATATATAATATTTGAAAAAATAAAAAATAAAACCCTCCCAGGTCTGTTGATTTCAGCAAATCCTCCGGAGCACCTTAGAAAACAAACCACAAGGGCAACTGCGGGCTTCAAAGGCTCGGTGGTGGTCTCGGCGGGGAGTGAGAGAAAAAGCATCGTGTGATGTGGGAAGAGAGCTGCTGTGGTATCACAGAGGCAGGGCCCTAAAGCATCTTGGGGCGGCAGGAAGGCTCCCTGGAGGAGGTGACTCTCAAGCTGAGTCCTAAGGACTGGCAGGATTGGAAGGGACATGGTAAAGGAAAGTAAATCTGCTCCATGGGGAGCCAAGACTTCTGACCTCGCGGGGGGGGGGGGGGGGGGGACCTGGCCTGCTGTGCATTTCACAGAGACCGCTCTGGCATTTGGGTAAGGGTGCAAAGGGGCAGACTGTGGAAGGAAACCCAGAAGCTAAGACGAAGCAGGGAAGGAGGGGGTAGGGGAGGCACTGAGAGGTTGAAAGGAGAGGGCATCCAGGCATTAGTGCGGGAGACATTAGGGATGGTTCTCAGGATCTGACTTGGGATGCCTGCACTGGTGATGCCGACCCTGGCAGGAGGAGCTCAGAAGGAGCAGCAGCCATTGAGGGAACCAACGGAGACCCCCTGGGCTCGGTTTCAGTTCAGGCTGCCTGGAGTACATGCAGGTCTAGATGCTCAGCAGGCAGGTGTGCATGCAGGCCCAGGGCCCAGGGCTCAGGCGTACACTGGGCTAGAGATAGGAGCTTGGACATCCCACACGGAGGCGGTGGTAAGCCTGGAGAACAGATGAGTGTCTCAGTGAGAATGTGTTGATGCAAAGCCACAGCAACATCCAGGGTGGTACAGGGGGTGGAGCCAGCAACGGAGACAGAGAGAAGAGTCCACCGTGGAGGGAAGGACAGCAGGCGAGGGGTGGTGTTTCAAAGAGAAGGAGCCCATCTAGGTTGCTGAGGACAGAAGATGAGATCCAAGGATGACCATCGGGCTGGCATTGAGAACCTTGGCAAGACTGTTTCCAGTGGGTGATGTGTGTGAAGGCCAGATTATGGTGGTTGAAGGGAAAGCGCGCACAGAAGCCATCAGCAACTTTTGGGGGTGGAGGGTAGGAGGTAGGGGGGGGGGTTGCAAAGGGAAAGAAGAGGGAGAGGGAGAAGCTGAGCAGCTTTGGGCTCTCCTCTCTGCCAAATTGTCGTCAGTTATCCCAGGTCTCATGCTGGACCTCCAGGCTTCTGCCCATGCTGTGCCCCAGCCTGTGCTGCCACTTCAGGTGCTTGGCTTCTACCCTTCAAGAGCAGCTCCTGTTACTTCCTGTGTCTGGGCCCCTTAACAAGGGTAGAAACATGTCTTGCAGTGGTGCAGACCCGTTGCACACATTTACCCATTTTGCAGATAAATTAACAATCTCAAGGTTAATCCCCAGCACACAGTCCCGGCCTTTCTCTCTCCCACTGTGACCCAGGGCCCCATCTGCATCCCTGCCATCCCCACACCTCCCTCTCAGGACCTGAGGCTCCCTTTGCCCCCTACCCTGAGAAAATGCAGTGAGGGGTGGAGGGGGGTGGTACAGCACCAGGTGGCCTGCCTCCTGGGACCCAAGTTCCTTTGCATTTTACCTGGGGTCCCTCAAATCTTGGCACAGGGCACGGCACACAGAGATGAGGTTTCCCTTTTCCTCCAGGAAGGATTACTCAAGGCCTGGCTGGGCGTCCTGTCCCAGCTCCGGGTCTCACCCAGAGCAGGTCAGTCACGGCTCTGGCAGGAGATGACCAGGGGCAGATAAATCCCAACAGGCCTGACCTTGCATCGCTCCCACGGCTGCTCTCTCCTCGGCCTCCTCTCTGCGGGTGAGGAGCCCAGCCTGGCCCTGCCCCCCACACCCAGCTGAGGTCATCCCAA